TCCTCCTTTTGGAAAGTCAAAAAAGAAAAAAAAAAAAAAAAAAGATAAAGAAAAAAAAAAACAGAAAAAAAATGATCGGCCAGCAGGCCTCAGAGGTTATTCTAGGGCTTCTAGAACAAAGAAATTCTGCAAGGGCATGCATTGTTATCTTGATTGGCACCACTTCCAGCCCTCACCCCCTTCCGCCGCCACTCCACCCCCCTTTATGACATCTTTGGATCCGCCCCTGCTTATTACTTTCAACAATATACAATGCACCCTCCAATTCTATTCTAGACCCTTCTAATTCAAGACCACTTTTTCTAAGAACCAAATAACAATCCTCAAGCTTCTAACACTCTATTAGAGATCGAACTCCAATACCATCCCAAATTTGTTCTTGACTTAGAGGGCGAACAGTAATGATTTAAACACAGTAGTATTTGATAGAATCTATAAAAAAAAAAATATTTTTACCTGTGATCTGAATCTGCATACAGCCAATTTTGTACTCTCTTGGCTCTGTGTTTTCGATGTCGCCGGGGCTTCTTTTCAGCCTGCCCACCACCAGCTTGAGGTGAACTGTGCTCTAGAAATGCCTTTTCTGGGCTACTCAAATGAAACTATAGGATTAAAAAAAAGTCGCATAGTAAGAACTTCTAGAATGGTTGCCTAATAAAAATTGGTCTCTATGAATGCTGATATGCTACAGTATGGTTGATTTTATTTCAGAATTTTATAATACCGTGCTGACTATCATGCATATCACTAACTTAGTAAAGAATTGTAACAAAATAGCTTGGGGAGGAAGTACAGAGTCTGGTTCCAGACCATGTCAGTCCCACCATGGTTGGGGCTGAGGTACAAAATTTCATGTCTATGGCATTTTTAGATGCTTAGAAATGACCTCTCAAACTTGTTCTCATTTTTTTTATTATAAAAAATTTGGGTGGGGATGAGGGAGGAGGGAGCTGGGAGGACGGGCTGGCTGGGCCCCCTCTTGTATCCACTTTAGAACACTCCATTAACAGACGCTGGAAAACCTTCTAGGTGAAGTGGGGGGTGGGGTAATTGTTACAATGATTTGAACTATGTCCAGATTATCAAACAAAAAACTGCTGTACTGTATGTCCATATTTAGTCATGATGTGCCTATATATGGTCATGATGTGATGTCAGCATGACCATATTCAGGAATGTCACACAAAAAAATATGTCACATTTTATTCTCTACTCACAGATGTATCTCCTTTCTCTTCTTCACTATCCGATTTCTCCTTCTTTTTCCTCTTCCGTTTCTTTTTTTTCTTCTTTTTCCGTGACACTTCCTCTACTGGTTCATTATTCATCTGTTCTATCATGCCGGCCCACGGATTCTGACTTCCGCGGAACATGTGATGGGCATCGGAGGGCATTTCGTCATCTCCGGAATCAACGATCTCACCATCCTCAAGGATCTCGCCATCTTCCATATTTACATCTTCTATCTTATCTCTGTTAGTGAAATAATCAAAGAAACCAAAATTAATTTATATTTCATTATATTCCAGATACATTAATTGAAGTCTCGCTTAAGTTTCTCCTTTAAATTTTTTTTATATATAAATTTATTATGATGATAATTTATTTTCATCTTCGATTACCACCAGTGGAGGTATATCTCCACACCAAATTTATTATATGTGATAAAATGTCATTAGTTATCTGTATTCAAAGGAACAGTATTAGATTTGTTGCATAGCAATGTGAACACAATATAAACAAAGGGATAATTAACATATTAATTTGTTTAGATATTCATTATTATTTACCATGTAAATGAGTTTTAAATAAATAAATAATAATAATAATAATAATAATAATAATAATAATAATAATAATAATAATAATAATAATAATAATAATAATAATAATAAAAAGTGCCAATAAAATTTGACATGGAAGAAAGAGACAAGTGAATGGATGGGTTTCCAACATCACATTACGTTTACTATTTGCCTGTTTGACTAAATATATAGTAAGCACTTGTAACTTATTATATTATTAGTACTATTAATTAAATTCAGATGGTGGCTTCATTCAGTACAGCAAAAGACAAACATTTTTGGCAGGTATATAGTCCCAATACGACAAGCCAACAATTAGAGTGGCATGTTGTGAATGAGCCACACACAGGCACCACTCACTGTGGTTAATAATTATGCTGGTCCTATACTTAACTGACAACTTGTTAATATACTTGTCAAAAGGAATGAATAGGGTTCGATACAGTATGTTATGGTAAGATTATTTTAACAAAGTAATAACCCATTAAGTCTGAAGACTTGATTTCAGTTGGGTCCTGACTCCTTCGGGTATTAAGGAATCAATTTTAGAGATAATCTCCTAATTATCTCCTAATTTGAGATAATCCCCTAATTTTTTTCAAAGCCAAATATTTTTTTTTCTTTTTTAATTTTCCTTCACATCCAACAACAAGTACACCCGCCACTTACAGGATGGAATGATGCTTTATAAACCAAGTCTCTTAATGAGGCTTAGGGAGTGGAGTTGTTTTTGGTCGTGAGAAAAATTCCTGCTGTTACAGGAATTGAACCCAGGACCCTGAGATTAGAAGGCAAGCATCTTAACCACTGAGCTATTCACCTCCGCTCCAACTATTAAATTCTTTAACGTGTGGCAATACTACACACAGAATCAACAGCTTTAAATGGGTTGGGGAGGGGGTATGTTGAGATAAATATATTCTAACAAGGCTGAAGTATTACATCATTCCCTCAGCTTGTACCCCCTCACCCATGTTAATACCCGTAGATCTGCTGCTGTGCTTTTATCAGATGAACTAAATTTGCAGCTGAAATTTATAAACAACAAAATGATGTACAACAAGTAGAACTTACCACAATCAACAAAATATGTTTTGTATACATCAACACTTTGCAATGTTGAATGATGAATATGGATACATATTCAAGATATTTTGTTTACATTTTTTTTTACTTTATAATGTTGTTTGCAGATAAACCTTACTTGAATTTTTTGATTGGCAAACTGAGTCAATATTCAGTATAATTTATTCTGAAATATTTTAGAATATATTAAGCCCAAAAAATTTAGAAAAAAAAAAAAATCATTTTTATTTAATTCATGGTCGACAAGCACAATCAGGATTCTTTGTCTATATCTATCGGTTATAGGGCCCTAAAATTGCTGAATATAGGTAGGGCCTAAACCACTGGTTAAAGCGTCATTTTATTTCATTCATTTCTGTCAAAAAAAATATATAAAAGACAAGAACAGACACAAAGAGAAACAATAACAGAAGAGGAAAACCAAAAAGCGAACTTATTCTACTATTGAGTGGCTTCCCCGATAAGTATATAAAAATATTACAATACAGTATTTTAACTATTTATAGGGTCAGAATCACCTGTTTAATATGCCCATACTGTAAGTGGACATCAACATACAAAAAAAAAAAAAAAATGAAAGTAATCATATCATTTGATGCCTATTGCCCACTGTAGAAATTACAATACTAGTTGTAAATAAATATTTAAATAAATATTGAAAACCAGTATTTCAAGATACAGTAAGAAAAAATGAGAATGTTGAATTCAAATTGAATTGGCAGAAACTGCCCGAAAAATGGTACAGTACCAGAGATGAGGTGTTCAAGGCTCTTGACATTGTCCCCAGTCCCCTGATGTTGCTGCCACTGGAAAGAACACTTTCAGGAAAAATTCTTAGGGGAGGAAATGAGGCAAAGAGATTTGGATTTTGCATCTTAACTTGTGAACTCACTTGATTTATATTTATTGAAAGATACACAGCAGTCTTTAATAAGGGCTTCAAATTGACGGTAAAGTGCTACTTAAAACAAAAAAAATATTTGTATAAAAAATGCCGCAATCTTTAACTTATACGACTGATTTGAATTTCCAAACTTAATAAAATAACGTATCTTTGAGGATTACCTACCATCTTATGCGTGATATGCTAAGATATTATTTATCATACAATTCTTGGGAACTGCTGAAGAAAAATATGTTTAATAATGGAAGTGGGATGATGGAGCGATATATGTGGCTACGTCTTTCGCGGGACAGTGGCAGATCCAGGAATTTGAAATAAAGGGGGCCCCCCACAGGGACGGACATTTACATAGAGGGTCCATCCACCTGAGCCCACCATGGCCAGAAATGGCACTCTTTAGACCTAACTTTAAATACAATTTTCTTTTTTTTTTTCAGAATTTTGAAAAGTTTAAAGGGGCCTGGGCCGGAATACCCACACCCCTCGAAACCACTACTGTAGGATGATAGTGATACATCCAACCGCTGTAGGATGATAGTGATACATCATAATTCTTAGCCGATATACATACTAAACGAATACATGGAATAGTTCACTATGTGTGTAAAGTATTGCATTACATTTAGAAGGATCAGCTTAACTTAAATCTTAGTAGAAATGTGGTTAAATTTCTTCCCCCTCCTGTATGGAAGTATTTTTGTTACGAATCAATGTTAGCAGTACCAGACACGTTATTACTGAATGCTCAATACGTTTCCAAATGCTTGCAAAAAAAAATCTTGCAAGTGATTAGTGTGGGAATTGAACACACGACCTCCAGATAACTAGCCTGGTGTCTCAACTACTCAACCACCGAGCTTGCGCTCAGTGGCTAGTTATGAATCCGATCCCCAAGTAGCAGTGGGCACTGAAATTCTATTCCGATGACGATTTTACGTCAGAAGAACTAATAAGCTTAACAAAAAAAAACCCCATTGGAATAGCATTGCAATACCCGTTGCTACTTGGAATCAGATTCATCACTAGCGTCCGGTCCAAGCACAAACTAGGTGGTCAAGTGATTAAGACACCAGGCCAGTTATCTGGAGGTTGTGGGTTCGATTCCCATCTGAATCATTTGCAAGACCTTTTTGACAAGCATTTGGAACGTACTGGGTATTTAGTACTATAACACGTCAAGATAGGGCAGACATTGTTTCGCATTATTTTACCTGACATGCAAACGCCATTGGAATAGTATTTTTGTTCATTCAAAGATAAATTGGTATTAATTTTGTGTTTTGTATAGTGTTACACCCACATCTTCAGATTCAAATACTAATGTTGATTGAAAACTGATGAAGTGCTGCTTTTGCAATTTGAAAATTTTCATTCCTGGCATAAATCCCCAGTTGTTTTGCATGTGTTCTGGGATGCAGCATATTGGGACTGAACCACTGAATTCAACAACCTATATTATATGATTAAAATTTGTAATGCCTTTATAACTTTAGCTTCAATTAAAAAAAATGTTTATTAACCTCCACCTCACCTTTTGGGCCATAAGTTAATATTTTTTTCATGAAGGCTTAAGTTTACCATGGTTTTATGTCTTAAAAATAGCCCCTTCACATCATTTATCTTAATTTAAAAACTTCGAAAAGAAAATACTGCAGAGGAGGCTGTATAAAACAAAACTATTAATTATTAATGAAATGATTACAAATTTACATAATTAAAATAAAAAGGTAATACAGTAACTACAGTTGCAGGCATTAAAGCAGTTTTTATAGAAGTTTGTGAAGCTTGTATCATTAAATTCTGAATGGATAATTTCTATTTGCGTCACCAAGAGTAGAAAAATATATTAAATAAATATTACACAGTACGGTATCACAATCAAAAGATACAGACATGAAACGAGTAGAGACTTTGAAATCAGGGGGATGGTTACGGTATGGGTTGCAATCCTAGGTAAAACACCAAAAAATAAATCTGAAGGTTAAGGGTCACGAATTACAATTGATTGGTTTATATTATACAAAGTAGCACATGCAATAAGCCTGAACAGGTTCATTTTATGGATCCAGAAGGGTTGTTGTTAAGTTTATTGCTCAAAAGGTGTAAAATTATAAATTTTAATGAGTTAACTGTAGTTGTGGTGATGCAAAAGTGTCTTTTTAATAGGGGTTGTATATGTGTTGATTTGACCATTTGGAACAAGTGTGTCCCTAAATAGGGGCTGGTCATAGTGTTATACAGTATATATATATTTCTCCTTGTTTTACAAAAAAAAAAGTTCACCCTTGATAGAGTGGGGGAAACTTATAAATAGGTTGTCCCAAAAAAGCTCTACTGTAACTTTCATGAAGTCACATTTTAAATTCCAAATAACTTGATATTATTAAGACGAGACATTTTTAATAACTTGTATCACAAACATATTATTAAAGATCATCAGAGACAAGAACAAAAAATAAATAAAATTTAGTTTTCTTATTTAGCATATAGTTTTTCGAAAAACTTCAAAAGGAGAAAATAAGAAGAGAATTTTATTGGTGAATGTAAACAGTGTAGTAATGGGATGGATAATAAATGCTTTAAATCTATGTTAGGAACAATTATACGTACATTATTATATTTTTAAGATTTGACAGCAGCTGGCATAAACAAAAATAAATATAACAACTTTTTTTCCTGAAATTTTAATTTTTTGTGGTAGCGGTTGCCCGAATTGGCCAAAAATGAAATGTTATTTTTATTTGAAATCGTCAGTAATGGTGGGAGGCCGGTTAGCTAAACACGGAATAAAAAGTTTCACCTAAAGCTAATGTATGCTTAATTTTAATTGGTTCTTTGGGGTCCATCATTTTGTGTTTGTATCCATGTTCATACAGTAGATATTGAGTGAGAGGAAAGGTTTCCTGTTGTTTCCATATTTACATTGCATCAATGATGAGGAGGGCATTACCATATTCAAAACACAAGATGGTTATTAAATTGGTAAACCCTCATTTGTTCTCATCATCCTCCTCAAACTCTGCTAGAGCAAACAGGGCAACCAAATGGATATTGTTCATCAAAACATTAACATTTTTCATAAAAATATATGAGCTGTATTTAAAAAAAGACATGGCTACAAATATAAAAGGTTTTAGCAACTGAGGACGGAAATTAAAAATTACTTGTAATAAAATATTTCACCGGAATAATATGGTCCTTGTGAAAGATGAGGAAATTTGGAGCAAAGGGAGATAAAAGTGTGTTTGTACATATTTTGAAATTTCTCCATGCATAATTTCCCATTCAACCTTACCTCCTTTGTAATGGAATAATCTACTGGGCTAAATTTATCCCGGATAAATGACGTCACATACTTTGACGTCATTTATCCAATCCTAATTTACATACAGTGAACGAAATGTTGGGATTGACTTTTGATTTATGTAGAGTTTAGACTTATGAATTTCCCGTTCACAGGACACATTTATAAACCATCACACAGTGTAAAGAACCATCCTTACAAAAAATAACAATCAATATTGAAGTATATACAGCATTATGATACAATTACTTGACCTTTCTCTTTCTTCCTTTCCCGAACCACAAGAAGGATCATCATTTTGTTGATGACTGTTCATTGGGGGTGTATCATCAGACGGGGTTTCTAACGCCATTACAGTTTAAAACCGTTGTGTTCCCCAATGATACAACAATAAATAAATTCTCTGAACTGTTACGTATGAGATGTTCACATTATCCACTTTCGGCTACGCATAAGACCGCTGAGTTGTGGGATTTTTAAGAAGAATTTATCACGCCTCGTACACGATTCAATAGCAAAATGGCGGAATTATAACTGTTAACTACGCATGCTCGCAGGTTTTGACCGATTTCTACGGAGGCTTTAACAGGTCATCCTACAGGGTTTGACAATTGTGTAATTAACATAACTTAAATATATGTATATTTCTGCACTTTCATAGTTTTATAACTATTATATTTGATCCATATACACTGTGTTATTCAAATAATACATAGTCACCTTGTAATAAATTTTAGTTTTGTTTACTCCAGTATTATTGAACACTTTGTAAAATGGAACGTTCCTGAGTGTTTTCACACACCGAAAGACTCTTGCTGTTTGTGCAACGACTCCCTCACAGCGCGCATGGATGGATCTATAAAAAAGACCACTTTTGCCTAGGCTGGCCTAGCTTGAACTTGCACGTTTACCACGCGTCCATTGTGTGGACGTTGTGTTTATTGTTTTAAAAACTTAGCCGATTATTGTGAAATCGTGAGTATTGATTTTTTATAAAATGCATCAAAATTATAATTGATTTGGCGGGAGTTAAAATGTAGGCTAGCTAGGCCTAGGGCCGCTAGCTCAAACCAAAATACAATAAAAATGGTGTAGGCCTAGACCTAGGCTCCTTAGCCTACCTAGGCCCTAGACCTACTATATCGCCTAGGCTAGGCCTATTTTGTTTGGTCACCGGTAGGGCAGGGGTAGGTTTAGGTTAGCTAGGGGATAGCTACTAGGCCTAGTACTACTACTGGCCTAGACTAGCCAGAAGTAGTATTAGTAGTGCATTATTAAAACCTGGTAGTTTTGTACTGTCATAAATTTAAAATAGCAGAATTCTCCAGTTATCCTCCTGGATAGGGCCTAGGCCCTAGTCCTAGTAAAAATAAAATACAATCAATACAATACAATATCTAGGCCTAGGCTACTAGACTAGTAAATGCAAATTTTCAGTAGGCTTAGGCCTAGCACAATAATAATTTGTCTTTAGTACAAAATATGGATTGCTTAAATTTCATATATTGTGGAATTTCAACAAACTGAACAGGATCAAGATTCATGGATTGGTCACTTATTTTGGTTTTTCACATTAATGAGATTATAATTATTTTACAGTTCATTAAAATCTTCGCCACTAAAGATCCGTAAGCTGTTGCGTCTACTATTGTTCAAGACGGTCTGCGTGCGATTCTAGCTGTTCCATCGAGCTTGACATTTTCCCAGTAACCTTTTCAAATGGTGGTTTCCACATACTTAGTTGCAGCTTTGGTTATCGGTTGTACCATCATTTCGATAAACTTAGGTTCCAAAAGCATTTTGTAATACCTTGAGAAATTTGTTATTCCATATCTGCTGAAAGTTTTTTCCTTTTTTAGACATCAAGTTTTGGCGCCATGTTCAAATTAGGCAGATCAGTGTCATAATCCTTCTATAGGCCTGTTTCTGCTGCTTATTCCCAAAATACAGTATAAAATTATAATATGTTAACATACAGTATCTAAAATCCTGTGTATCCCGTATCTGCTAAAAGTACTTATTGGGTGTTAAAATGTCCTCTTTTTTACCCATAATGCCTTTCGTGAGTCGGAAGTTTGGATTGACCTGTGTAGTGAGCCTCCTCGATAAGCATGGTTTCTTTAAAGAACGTTATAATTTTGGTTTCATCTATTTTGTCTATAATTAAAAGAAGGAAGTTTTACACCTCAATTTCTGCTACAGCCTAGAAATGATTTAGTATGGGCTACCCCCCCCCCTCCCAACATTTGAATCGTAAATACAGTATTGTTATGTTTTCCGTGTACATTTCGCACTTTCACTTTTGTGTATAATTAATGAACAAGCTGACAGAAAAATCAAAACACAACCCGCGTCATGATCTGTTGGCTCTTGACCTCATGTCAGGGGTCATACAAAATACAGTATTTTTATATCACCAGAAATGGGGGGTGGGGAAAACAACGGTATCTGTTACAAAATACCGGAATAATTCCACAAAAATAGTGGGGAAAAATATGGTATATAAAATACGGAATATTTTTATGAGCCTCATTTCTGCTGCAAAAAAAAAAAACATATTTTAAAAATACCTTATATACACTTGGCAGCAGAAACAGGCCCTGAGTCACTGCTATTTAGTTTAGCCATATGTCCATGGTTTAGCAAGTGAGTGTGCACCTTGGACAACCACAGCAATGGTGGTGTGTTGGTGCTGTAGTACATGCAAGAGTCTAAAACATATTTCAATAATTTTTTTTTACCACTGCAAATGATGGCATCTATATTTTAGCACATTTCCAACTTTTAATCAGTATTTTATACTGAAGTTTCCGAGATAAACTTTACTATTGTAAGATATAATGAAGACAGTTTTCTTCCTGTTGTGACTGTACCAAAGCGCCACCAGCGTTACTCCTTTTAAACCAAGGACACAAGCAGCTTGCCAATATGACATTAATTTCACAATTAATTTAGTAATACTGTAATGATAATAATAATATTAATAATAATAATAAAAATGTCATCTTTATTCGGTGCACGTATCCATCTCTTGGTAGAGCTGCTCGCGGCGCCGTTTTCCACCTGTAGAGTGTACATTACATTTAGCCTTTTTTCTGCATTATTATTTTGAATTTATTAAGTACTGTAATATGTTGCTTTGTGTGTGTTTTTTTAAGACTGGTACTACAGCAGATTTGAAGTGTCTTTGCTGACATAGTGTAATCATGTCTGACAGTGAAGGTAGCGGGTTTTCAGATGTCGATGGTGATCAAAGCGCCCCAGAAGATCAACTTGAGGTACATACAACCTATGGATCCTCTTTAATGGCTTTATATTTTTGCTATATTATGTTAACTGATATTAATAATGACATTATTGTTTCCTAATTATGATCGTCTATTATTGTCAGATACAATAATAGGAAGATTGCATTTTAACGGCATAAGCCTTAGAGCTGTCTCTTATACACATCTTATAAAAGGTTTTAGCAACTGAGGACGGAAATTAAAAATTACTTGTAATAAAATATTTCACCGGAATAATATGGTCCTTGTGAAAGATGAGGAAATTTGGAGCAAAGGGAGATAAAAGTGTGTTTGTACATATTTTGAAATTTCTCCATGCATAATTTCCCATTCAACCTTACCTCCTTTGTAATGGAATAATCTACTGGGCTAAATTTATCCCGGATAAATGACGTCACATACTTTGACGTCATTTATCCAATCCTAATTTACATACAGTGAACGAAATGTTGGGATTGACTTTTGATTTATGTAGAGTTTAGACTTATGAATTTCCCGTTCACAGGACACATTTATAAACCATCACACAGTGTAAAGAACCATCCTTACAAAAAATAACAATCAATATTGAAGTATATACAGCATTATGATACAATTACTTGACCTTTCTCTTTCTTCCTTTCCCGAACCACAAGAAGGATCATCATTTTGTTGATGACTGTTCATTGGGGGTGTATCATCAGACGGGGTTTCTAACGCCATTACAGTTTAAAACCGTTGTGTTCCCCAATGATACAACAATAAATAAATTCTCTGAACTGTTACGTATGAGATGTTCACATTATCCACTTTCGGCTACGCTGTCTCTTATACACATCTAGATGTGTATAAGAGACAGGTGACTGTACCAAAGTGCCACCAGCGTTACTCCTTTTAAACCAAGGACACAAGCAGCTTGCCAATATGACATTAATTTCACAATTTTATTTTACTAATACAGTAATGATAATAATAATATTAATAATAATAATAAAAATGTCATCTTTATTCGGTGCACGTATCCATCTCTTGGTAGAGCTGCTCGCGGCGCCGTTTTCCACCTGCAGAGTGTACAGTACATTTAGCCTTTTTTCTGCATTATTATTTTGAATTAATTAGTACTGTAATATGTTGCTTTGTGTGTGTTTTTTTTAAGACTGGTACTACAGCAGATTTGAAGTGTCTTTGCTGACATAGTGTAATCATGTCTGACAGTGAAGGTAGCGGGTTTTCAGATGTCGATGGTGATCAAAGTGCCCCAGAGGATCAACTTGAGGTACATACAACCTATGGATCCTCTTTAGTGGCTTTATATTTTTGCTATATTATGTTACAGTAACTGATATTAATAATGACATTATTGTTTCCTAATTATGATCATCTATTAATTGTCAGATACAATAATAGGAAGATTGCGTTTTAACGGCATAAGCCTTAGACCGAGAGTTCAACTCTTTGGTTTTACCTAAACGTCTGAAACAAAAACGTGTGCAGAAGTAAACAATTATGAACTTCTCAAACCGAATCCCCATTCAGATAATTATGTAAATATATAATATAGTAACAAAGCAATAGACACATACTCTTGCTGAGAGCTTTTTTTCTTTTATAGCAGTTTGTAATGAGATGTATTTGCATGCTATATTTCAGGGTGATTTTGAAAGTGATGCAGATGATGATTATGATTCAGATGAAGAGGATGACACTAAGCACAAGAGGCAGAGGACTGGGGCTGCTAAATTCATCATACATGAAGCAGGTTTGTCTATCTTTTTATACCGTATTTTGTCTTAACATCTGTCCACACTTACAATGTTTTATGTGATAAATATCTTGTGACTTGCCCATGTGTATGATTGGAATTATGAGCAAATCACACACATTGTTCACTTATAAAGCCCTGACCAGACTATCAAAACTGTTGAATGCCCATATATAGGCATGGTACATGAAGCAGGTTTATCTATCTTTGTAGTTTGTCTTAACTTCACCCACACTCATGTTTTTGATGTGACAATTTTTTATGATTTGCACTTGTGTGTGAATAGAATAATGTTCAAATCATACAGATTGTTTTATAACATTGGCAGTGTAAACAATATTTGATGAGCCTATAATGATTGTTAAGTAGCTTAATATACTTGGTTCTGTTTTAGTAACTTGATAATTCGTTATACATGCAGCTAATCCCTAGTTTTGAATTTATCAATACACAGTCGTCTGCACCAAGGCTGGAAAAAGTGCACAACTGCGCGACCAGCAGTCAGAAGCAGCATGAATGCCCCAGAGGCATTTTGGTTGGGGGAAAAAAATTTAAAAAAAAATAAAATATTGGGCTATGTAGTGTACAGTTAACATTTGTTGCTGGAGGCATTTTATCAAGACAACTTTCATGATTGGATTCACAAATATTTTTTTTTCCAGGCCTGATTATTTTTATAGGCAATATTATACAGAGGATACAGCTCAGTGGTTTAAAGCACATAAAATAGTTTTATCAATTGCGCTAATCTTTAGATTGAATGCAATAAACTTGTTTTGAATCTCATGAGTTCTTGTTTAGGCGAGACTTTTTTTATATCTTGTTTAGCGAACCCACCGACTGCAAATATTGATAATTTCGAATAAAAATAAAATTGTATTTTTGCACAATTCGCGCACCTGCCACCACGAAAAAGTAGAAATTTGAGAAAAAAATATAAGTTTTTCTTTCTTTTTATTCTGCCCTCCGTTGCCTTGAAATCGCCAAAGATAAAATATGTATATTTCTTTCTAAATATATAAATTTGAAGCATTTAACCATTCTATTTTACATTTACCAATAAAATTTTATTTTTATTTTCTTCTCCGTTTGGATGATTTTAGCAAAACTATTTACTAAATAAGAAAACAAAATTTTATTTTTATTCCGCCCACCTCCGATAATATTTTTTTTAATGAGTACGCGAAACAACGAATAAAAAAAGTCTCGCCTCATATCTGTCACCTAAATTAAAATTTTTTCATTCTGCTAAAAATCATTAAAACATACCATCAGATGCCATTATGCTCTCACGTGCACAATGAAGGTTGCCAGTTTAGTGAGATGTAATTGGTAAAGCACTATACAAATGCAGTATTGTTGTTAGTATTTTTTATTTATTAAAACACTTATGCTTTTTGTGCACTTATCTTATTTTTCATTTCTGATTAAATAATAATTGTAGATGTTGACAATGATGACAGGGGGGAGGACGAGGAGCCAGAGTGGGAGGCTGGGGCCGAGGATTACATTGACAAGAATTTCATTGAAGACGATTCGGAAAGACACGGAGCTCAACGACTTCACCAGTTGTTCAAGTATATTTGCATCTAATTTTCATTTATTACCACTTTTATTTATTAATTTTATTTTCAAAACAACTATTTATTGTATTATGCAATAATTATTAATTATTGCACAGTAACATTCAAGAGAATCAAAGACATGTTATATAAATTTTTGACTTTATTGATATCAATGAAAAAGAAATATAACATGCATACGCAATGCTTTGCACAAATTAAATCTCAATATTTTATATTTAATAATTAAATTTATACACTATTTTTCCCTTAAATTAATAAAATATCCCAAATCCTTAGATTAAGTAATCACAATGGATTAATGGAACACCAGTGTTTTATTATCATTATAAAAATGTATACTTTGCCTTTTAAGCTTTTGAAAGTTTGGAATTACTGATAAAATGTAAACATTTTACCATAAAAAGAGTAACAAAAATTATATAACTTTCCCCCTCTTTTTTCTGTTCTTTTATTTAGTTGTCATTAAAATAAAAAAAAATTACCATATTTATCGAGGGTGACCCTTCCAGCGAATCCTAGAAGGTCGGCTGATATTCAGGGGCCCTCTTAAACAAAAGAAATAATGTGATGAGATTTGATGTGATTAGCGAATTCTCATTAAGAGGCTTAGGGAGTGGAGTTGTTTTTTGTTGTGAGAATATTTTTTATATATATATACTTAAAGCATATTGTGAATAATTTTATTTTCTTATTAATTATATCAGTCAAGAAAATGAAGAGAACCTCGAAGAATACTATAAGAACCGGTACCAGACTAATTTTAGCGGACAGTATGTAGATGAGGATGATATTCCCGATCATATTAAACAACAAGGACTTCTGCCAGGTGTCAAGTGAGTTTGTTGGTCAAATATCAATTAATACTAATACTGACAATTAATAATAATAATAATAATAATGTACATTAATTAATGTAAATTAATTATTAATGTACATTTATAATCAAGTTCCGAGGATACTATTACCGTAAATATAGAAACTGAAACAGCAAGAGCCATTATATAGAAAACATTTCCTGAAGCCCTGAATAGGGTTGAATGCATGGGTTTGAAGTGAAGAATTGCTCCTTTTGGATCCATCTGTTTTGTATGGTGTTTGAAATAACTTGACAATAATTGCTTAATATAAAGTCACCATGTTAGATATGTGACAGTGGCAGATTCAAGGTCGGGTTCAGCGGCCTGGGCCCCCTAAATCTTTCAAAATTGTAAAAAATTGGAGAAAAATGAAAATTATATTCAAATTTAAAGTCTGAGAGTCCCATTTCCGGCAATCTAGAGGTGCCATAATTGCAACATTTTTTTTTACCTCAGCTGCAACCATCATGGGGCTGAGGTAGTATAAACCCTTCATCTATCAAAGTCGTTGCATAGGCCCTCGCTCCCCCTCCCCCTTATTTTAAATTCCTGGAACCGTCTCTGTGTGCTGTATATATTTTAGGCAAACTGCTGGTTAAAGCCTAGAAATATAACTTACCTGAGCATGTGCATTAGCTGTGCAAGAATTATTCTTACTTAGTACATGCACTGACAGTTAAAATCATACACTAGTATTTTACTTGATTATACCCTTTAATACAATGAATAAATATTGTGATGGATTATTTCATATTACTGTATATATCTCATCATTAGGGCATCTAACTGGTAAGAAGCAAGCAATAGAAAGTACTATTCCCATATGGGATAGAACTTTGTTGCCCTGCCGCGTGATGTGCAATCTCTAGGCTGCGTCGCTATGTAATTTATGACATGCACGAATAGTAAAGTAAACGCAACCTCTAATATGCTGAGAAAGATTGGCCCTTAGATTGCCTAGAACCGCCTAGGAAGTAAGCTTAGGCTAGATTCAGGGAACAGTGAAGTCTATAGCCCTCGGTGATGTGGAGACCATAGCCTATCTTCTATCGGCCCTCAGGAATATAGGCTGCGGTCTCCACATCACCTCGGTATGATAGATTTCACCATTCCCCTCATATGTAGTATATTAGCCAATTGCCAATTCTGTTGTTATTCTAACTGAACTATGAAATTGTTAATTGGTAAAAGTAAATAACTAATTTTTTGTGTGTTTTTTTTTTTTTTTCTTACCTTCAGAGACCCAAATTTGTGGATGGTAAAATGTCGTATTGGGGAAGAGAAGGCTACAGCTATACAAATGATGAGAAAATATATGGCGTACCAGTATAAGGATGAGGTAAGAAAGTGCTGTAGTATAGCTAGAAACATTGTTATTTTTTGGGGGGTTTTTATTCAACCAAAACCTACCAATATACATTTATATTTAGGATGTGTAATCCTAAAATAATACTGTTTTATTCTATTCTCATTCTGGGGTTTAATATGGGGGTCACAAAAAAAAAAAAAAAAAAATCTGTTTCAGTTCTCTTTAAACAGGCATGGCCATTAATTGTTATTACAATAATTACTGGTACTATTTTATTGCTTAGTGGATAATTAAATTGTTTATTTTGAAGTAACAATTTTCATATAAATTAAAAACTCTATAATATAAGCACAAGATAATCCGCATCAAAGGCTTTAATAATCTTTAAAACTTACCTTTTACAATTCCACAAGACACATGGAAACCACATTGCAACACCAAGCTCCACCACTCGGAATAATACATCATAGAAATTCCTCAATTTTATCCTGGAAATAAGAAATGGAATGAATCTTTAATTCCTCAGATAAACACACCTACCATATCTATTGTTTGCATGTCTTGATAATAAATATTTATACAACCTGAATTCATCAGGTAATGTGGGTTTATTCATCCTTTAGATAGTAAAAATTAAAGATCTAGATCCTTCTATTTATTTGTCTATTCATTACATATTCGGCACAAAATTACAAGGAAACAACCAGAGGAGTGCCAAGAGGACACAATGGACTGAGAGCCCAAAACAAGATGTGGGTATCCTCTCTAAGCCCACTGTTCTTTTGAAACAATCTACATAAAATTAAGTTAATGCCTGGTTTTTAAATTCTAAGTGGAAGTGGTTTCCCAACCTCAGGGTCAGTGTTTCAATCTCTCGCTGTGCATTTTGATTGTGTCCTTGAGCAAGGCAGTTTATCTGCGTTGCTCCTCTCCACCCAGGAGTATAAATGGGTAGCTGATTAGGTTCGACTGCAAATGCGCTAATATATTTCATGCGGCAAAATATGGAACTTCGCCCATTGGCATCATCCGAATGACTGAGGTAACAATGTGAAAAAAACACTCTGAGACTTGTGTGCAGACCCCTACACAAAAACGTACTTATTAATATTATTATTATTATTATTATTATTATTATAATTATTATTATTATTATTTATTTTATTATTATTACTATTTATTTTATTATTATTATTACTATCATTATTAAGCAATTTTAACATCATTAAATGTTCTGCTAGTTTATGTTTCCCTTCCATATGCGACAGGCTCCCCACTGTGAATGTGAACTGAGAATAAATAAATAATAAAACAAAATTTAATAATTATTACGCACTCGTTCAATACTTTGGTGTCTGCAACACTCATCATGAGGAAAGCAGCAGTGAGTAATTGCAATGCTCCCTGGAATACCAGCCCTATCCTGGACATGTGTAGTGTCCGAGGGTCCAGTGACAAACTTGCATTGCTGTCTCTTATACACATCTAGATGTGTATAAGAGACAGGTATTGTTGTTAGTATATTTATTTATCAAAACACATATGCTTTTTGTGCACTTATCTTATTTTTCATTTCTGATTAAATAATAATTTTAGATGTTGACAATGATGACAGGGGGGAGGACGAGGAGCCAGAGTGGGAGGCTGGGGCCGAGGATTACATTGACAAGAATTTCATTGAAGATGATTCGGAAAGACACGGAGCTCAACGACTTCACCAGTTGTTCAAGTATATTTGCATCTAATTTTCATTTATTACCACTTTTATTTATTAATTTTATTTCACAACAACTATTTAATGTATTACGCAATAATTATTAATTATTGCACAGTAACATTAAAGAGAATCAAAGACATGTTATATAAATTTTTGACTTTATTGATATCAATGAAAAAGAAATATAACATGCATACGCAATTGCGCAAATTAAATCTCAATATTTTATATTTAATAATTAAATTTATACGCTATTTTTCCCTTAAATTTATAAAATATCCCCAATCCTTAGATTAAGTAATCAAAATGGACTAATGGAACACCAGTGTTTTATTATCATTATAAAAAATTTTACTTTGCCTTTTAAGCTCTTGAAAGTTTGGAATTACTGATAAAATGTAAACATTTTACCATAAAAAGAGTAACAAAAATTAGATAACTTTCCCCCTCTTTTTTCTGTTCTTTTATTTAATTGTCATTAAAAAAAAAAAAAATTACCATATTTATCGAGGGTGACCCTTCCAGCGAATCCTAGAAGGTCGGCTAATATTCAGGGGCCCTCTTAAACAAATGAAATAATGTGATGAGATTTGATGTGATTAGCGAATTCTCATTAAGAGGCTTAGGGAGTGGAGTTGTTTTTTGTTGTGAGAATATTTTTTATATATATATATATATACTTAAAGCATATTGTAAATAATTTTATTTTCTTATTAATTATATCAGTCAAGAAAATGAAGAGAACCTCGAAGAATACTATAAGAACCGGTACCAGACTAATTTTAGCGGACAGTATGTAGACGAGGATGATATTCCCGATCACATTAAACAACAAGGACTTCTGCCAGGTGTAAAGTGAGTTTGTTGGTCAAATATCAATTAATACTAATACTGACAATTAATAATAATAATAATGTACATTAATTAATGTAAATTAATTATTAATGTACATTTATAATCAAGTTCCGAGGATACTATTAAATATAGAAACTGAAACAACAAGAGCCATTATGTAGAAAACATTTCCTGAAGCCCTGAATGGGGTTGAATCCATGAGTTAGAAGGGAAGAATTGCTCATTTTTGGATCCATCAGGTTTGTATGGTGTTTGAAATAACTTGACAATAATTGCTTAATATAAAGTCACCATGTTTGATATGTGACAGTGACAGATTCAAGGTTGGGTTCAGCGGCCCGGACCCCCTAAATCTTCCAAAATTGTAAAAATTTGAGATATTCAAAAGTATGTGAGTCCCATATCCGGCAATCTAGAGGTGCCATAATCGTAACTTTTTTTTTTTACCTCAGCCGCAACCATCATGGGGCTGAGGTAGTATAAACCCTTCATCTATCAAAGTCGTTGCATAGGCGCCCCCCCCCCCCTTTATTTTAAATTCCTGGAACCGTCACTGTGTGCTGTATATATTTTAGACAAACTGCTGGTTAAAGCTTAGAAATATAACTTACCTGAGCATGTGCATTAGCTGCGCAAGAATTATTCTTACAGTACTTAGTACATGCACTGACTATCCCATATGGGATAGTACTTTCTTGCCCTGCCGCGCAATGTGCAATCTCTAGGCTCCGTTGCTATGTAATTTATGACACACACGAATAGTAAAGTAAGACGCGACCTCTAATATGCTGAGTGAGATTGGCCCTTAGATTGCCTAGGACCGCCGAGGAAGTATATATATAAAGTCTTTAGCCCTCAGTGATGTGGAGACCATAGCCTATCTTCTATCGGCCCTCAGGAATGTAGGCTGCGGTCTCCACATCACCTCGGTATAATAAATTTCACCATTCCCCTCATAAGTAGTATATTAGCCAATTGCCAATTCTGTTGTTATACTAACTGAACTATGAAATTGTTATTTGGTAAAAGTAAATAACTAATTTATTTTGTGTTTTTTTTTTTTTTTTTTTCTTACCTAAAGAGACCCAAATTTGTGGATGGTAAAATGTCGTATTGGAGAAGAGAAGGCTACAGCTATACAAATGATGAGAAAATATATGGCGTACCAGTACAAGGATGAGGTAAGCAAATGCTTTAATATATCTAGAAACATTGTTATTTTTTGGGGGGTTTTTATTCAACCAAGACCTACCGATATACATTTATATTTAGGATGTGTAATCCTAAAATAATACTGTTTTATTCTATTCTCATTCTTTGGTTTAATATGGGGGTCACAAAAAAAAAAAAAGAATCTGTATTGTATTCATGAGCCTAAAGTTGAGGACTTCTACAAAACATGTCTTGATTTAAAAAAGAACATTGGCTACAAAAATTTATGTTTTCAAATATATGTACGCACTTCAAAATAGCTTCTGCATGAAACGATTTTGTTGTACAGTATGCACAATATTGACTTTCCTTACAGCCGCTGCAAATCAAGTCTGTCGTCTGCGTAGAGGGCATCAAGGGATATTTGTACGTGGAATCGTTTAAACAGACTCACGTGAAGCATGCCATCCAAGGTGTCGGCAACCTGCGCATGGGCTATTACAAGCAGCAGATGGTCCCAGTTAAAGAGATGACAGATGTCTTGCGTGTCGTAAAAGAAAAAGTTGTTTTGAAAGAGCGAGCTTGGGTCCGCATGAAGTATGTTTAATTTTCTTTTACTCTTTCTTTCCTTGAATGTTAGAAGATAATTTTTAAGTTTAAACCATGTCCAATAAATACATGTTTTTTTTTGGTTTTTTTTTCTGTTAATACAGTATTTCTAAATTGTTTTATGTCATATTTTCATTTAGAGGTTATTCATTTTGTTTATTATCTTCATGAAAGTACATAATCTGGGAAAAATAATAAAATTTTCAACTTTTTTCCGTGTATATAAATATTTAAATTTTTTAATTATCAACAATGGAGGTTTATATCTATATCAGAGTTACTTTAATTCTTCATTTTTATTGATCATTTATTATATTGAATTCACTACTGTTAACTTGCATTGTGTGTGGAAGCGGTTGGCGCAATTGTTGTCGCTTGAACTTCCAACTTCAAGGTCAGGGGTTTGCTGTGCATACGTTTGTTTCTTTCTACCCAGGAGTATAAATGGGTACCTGGTAGGATGTTGTAGAATTGAATGTACTAGTTTTGTGTGCGATAAGTAGCGATGACTAGGTATACACCCCAGGGAGCAGAGAATGTTGCACTTCGTGGACTAGTTAGCCATTGTATGTTATCCAGTGACCAGGGGTAATATAGCTTAGCGCCTTCAATCATATAATTTGGAATTGGTGCTTTATAAGTATTCAAGTATTATTATTTTATTTATATTTATTATTATTGAAACTCTTAAATTATAGGTTTTCGCTGGATAAACTCCTACCGTACAAAGCTATAATAATAACTTCTTATATATATAATAATTCCTTGATTTATATAGACGAGGTGTATATAAGGATGATCTTGCACAAGTTGATTATGTTGATTTGGCCCAGAATCAAGTAACGATTAAGTTGATTCCTCGAATTGATTACTCGCGACCGAGAGGAATATCAAGAACCTCGGGTGATGCGGCTGATAAAAGGAAGAAACGGCGTCGACCAATCTCAAAGCTCTTTGATCTGGAAGCTATCAGGTAATCATTTGTTTAATTAATCAAAATTAATTTTTGTTGAGAATGTCTCAATGTTTCGCTTGAGTATACTTCAATTGTCATCAAGCATAAGAACATATAATAATGCTATCTGCAGAGTCCAAACAGTGAAATAATGTGATTTCCAATCGCATTAGTATTTCCTTTTTTGGACCCTCTGCAGATATTATTCCCCTGATTACGAATGAAGCAACTCAATCGAAATGTCAAGACATTCTCAACAAAAACAACAGTTCTTTTCAGAACTATCTACGTGGTGTACCGCAAGCATTACAGTATTACTTTGTCATGCAAACCTTCAAACAATAGATTGTACAAGTATTGTGTGTTACTTTGTCTCTGATTGGTCAGAAGAACAACTTTGAAGACAACGTTGATTTTACTATTAATGCGATTAAACTCAACAGTGTTCAAACTTTATGATACACATGCGCACATGCCTCGCAATGACGTCATAGTGTTATTTTTAGGTTGATAATTCTCTAAAAAGCATTGAATTTATTTTTAATCCATTTTTTTTGTGACAACAAAATTTGCAAATGTAAAATTGATTATTACATTTTTTTTTATTAGATGGGTAATGTTTAATTAACTATCTAAAATGGTTTTTAATTTTTAATAACATATCCTAAGGGTAAGTTTGTCAAACTTTGTAACTACAATGATTTTTAATTTTGAATAACATTGTATCCTTAGGGGCATAGGAGGGGAAGTGTCCACTGATGGTGATTACTACATGTTTGAAGGAAACAGATACAGTAGGAAAGGTTTTCTGCATAAAACATTTGTCATGAGTGCTATTGTGAGTTTAATTTCTTTTTTTTTTTGTTATTATTTAAAGTCAGACTCCGGAGGGGGGAAAAAAAATTTGATATGTTGTACAACTGATTTTTCTAAGACAGAAAAAGAGTTGTTTGATGAAAAACTGGGGAACGGTGAACGAGATACAGATTTTTGAATATTTAAAAACTGGGGGGGGGGGAAAGGGCGTAACTGCCTATTTTTACACCTTTTCCCCCAGTTTTTAAATATTCAAAAATCTGTGTCTCATTCACGATTGCTCAGTTTTTGATCAAACTACTTTTTTCTGTCTTAGAAAAATCAGTTCTACAAAATATCAAATTTTTTTTTCTCCGGAGCCTGATTTTAATAAAAATTATTGATAATTACAGAAGCAATACGACTCAAACACAATGTTTTACCACTGTCTCACAAGCAGATTGTGATCTCAGTGCCCTACAAATTGCGCAATATAAAATCACATGGCGTAAACAATATGTGTTAAAACACCTCACATATACAAGTGTCCATCAAAGAATATCATGCCACATTCAGTTGACTGTAGAAATGGTTCCTAGTTCAATTCGTCGTATATCTCCTTGTTTTTCAGCCAGAGGACTAAAATCCAAGTTAATTATCTTTCAAATGAGCCATTTAAACCATTTGTCCAGTATGGTCCATGTGATGTTAAAGAATGAAATGAACTCTTCAGAAAAGAGTAAATGATTGTCTACCAGAGTTCTGACCACTTTACCACTAGAAGCACCCCAAAGAAAATAAGTCTCCTGACTTTCATAGATTATCGTTTGTGTGTTTCGTATAAAAAATTCTAAATATAAATCCTTCTACAGAGTAATACACTTTGTTAAGCCTCATATTGAGAAATTATACTACAGAATCATTTATCTTATAATTGAAAAGATGTTAAATCTTAAGAATGTTTTAATTTACTGACACTGATAAATTGTTATTATATTGTACAAGGAAATCAAATTTCATGTATTAATTTCATTATTGTATATAACTAATAAAATGAACTTTTTCTTTTCTGACAGATGACAGAGGGTGTGAAGCCAACGCTATCAGAGCTCGAAAAATTTGAAGACAAACCGGAAAACATTGACATGGAATGTATCCTTTTTATATTACCGTTTATGGATTAACCAGAAGAAAAAATTCAGATATAGTCATGAATTTATTTCCTCTATTTTAGCATAATAGGCCTATTTCTTAAGTTACAGACATTACTCTACTACCTTTATTGTATTATTTTATTGTTGGAATTATAGATTTATATAAGCTAAGCTCCGGAGGAATAAAAATTGTTTACATGTTGTACAACTAATTTTTTTGAGAAACAAAAAGGATGCTTATAAAAAAACTCTGAAACTGTTAATCTAATATAGATTTTTGAATATTTAATAATTGTTGGAAAAGGATCGTAACCAAACTTTTAAAAAATAATAGATAGATTTATATGATTAATTTATTGTATTAAAATGCCTCCTTTGTATGTATTATCAATTATTAAAATAATAGATTTATATGAGACAGGCTTTGGAGGAATAAAAATTGTTTATATGTTGTGCAATTAATTTCTCTGAGACACAAAAAGAGTGTTTACGAAAAGCTGTTAATCTTATATAAATTTTTAAATATTTAAAAATTGAGGAAAAAAGGGTCGTAACCGACCTTTTTTAAAATAATAGATAGATAATAGATTTATATGAATAATAGATAAATAATAGATTTATAATAAAAAAAAAATTGATTTATATGATTAAATAACCAGCCTTTTTTAAAATAATAGATAGATAATAGATTTATATGAATAATAGATAAATAATAGATTTATAATAAACAAAAATAGATTTATATGATTAAATTACTGTTTGCTTGGTATTTCTTTGACCTCGAGTGCAGTGGTGAACACCAAAAGTACTAGTGATGTCACACACTCCTTTGCAGCCGGAGACAACGTAGAAGTCATTGAAGGGGAGTTGATCCACTTGCAGGGAAAAATCCAGTCAGTAGAAGGCAACACAATTTTTGTAATGCCCAAGCATGAAGACCTGAAGGTACAGTAATGAAGTTGGACAACACATGGTCTGTCAACCCTATCAAATATCGACAATTCGTCCTTATATGGGGATGATGAAGTCATGTTACATCTATATATGGGCAAATCATTAGTTAATTAACATGTTTGCTGCCAGGGATGCAAGTGCGACACTTCCGACAGGGTTTACCCAGGGTGCTAAGGGCACCTGTGTAAATATACCACTACTGTATTGCACGTAAACTCCCTGGCAGTGGTCACCGAAACGTGAACTCTAGCCCTGGAGGTTCAGGGGAAAACCCAGAAGTAACAGTCTAAAAATAAATACCATATGTTTGTTTGTGTTTCATTACAGCTGGTGAGAATGATTTTCAAAATGATGGCACTCTTTAAAAAAGGCCTGGCAGTCAATGTGTTAAATTATAATTATATACTATTTCAGAAGTTTATTATTTTTTTTAAATATATTTAATTAATAATTAGTAACCACTGTTGAATTCTCTGTCAAACTTTATTGGCATTTAATAATTATTAACAATGGTTTTTACATTCTAGGATTTATTAGAGTTTCCTGCTCATGAGTTATGTAAACATTTCAAGATCGGAGATCATGTTAAAGTCGTAGCAGGGCGCTATGAAGGCGATACAGGACTGATCGTACGAGTTGAAGAAAATATGGCAATTTTATTCTCTGATCTTACCATGCATGAGGTATGTATAAAGAATTTATTCAATTATATTTGAGTTTTAATAAACTTAGGAGAATTTGTTTTAATGTCTACCTTTCTTTTTCTTGATTGTCGAAGAATTAATTTATTCGTCTGTTATTAAATTTCATGTGTATATCAGACATTTAATTATCCACAATGATTTTTCAAAGAAATAGTAAAAGAAATTTTAGTGGTGGTAGTCTAGTTTCACTAGGCTAATTATCTGGAGGTTGTTGGTTCAATTCCACCCAAATTACATGCAAAAATCCCCCAAATCACTTGAAAAATAGTATTTGGGAACATACTGAGTTATACAGTCCGATAACATGTCAGGTATGGCAAAACATAACTCCTGTGATATTTTTCTGACACAAACATATATTAAAATATAAGAAATAATTATTGTTATCATATATTTGTTATTTAATCGGTTAAAGTATGCCCCTTTCTAAAGTCCAATCTAACACCTGTGCAATTTATTTTCAGTTGAAAGTGTTGCCAAGGGATTTGCAGCTGTGTAACGAGATGAGCTCAGGAGTTGACTCAATGGGACAGTTCCAACTCGGTGATCTTGTTCAGTTAGAGTAAGTTGCATATCTTTTTAAAATTTTTTACTCTATTTCATAAAATAGCTGGATAAAGTAAACATTGTGTTTGTTTCTTACACCTTTGAAAATAGAATGAACAGAAATTTGTGTTCATTATTTAAATTTTAGTTTCTTTGTGGCTAAATACATCTTAAGATGGTTTCTGCTGTGGAAGGTGCTATAAAATTACATGACAATTAAGCATTGACCATCTCTGGGTATCCATTTGGTTAATGTCTTTGTCCATCTATTGTCATTAGCTCTAACCACATGCCCTACCCATCTCCATTATGTCGTTTGTTCCGGTTCTCCATGTAACTGTTGCGCATAATATTCTGTCGAATACGTATGTGTAAAATCCAGGCATTCGCTGCATCGTATGTCGATCCAAATCCGCTTACTGTTAGCACTAGACAATGCAATGCTGTCTGCTTATTGGTGGTAGCTGTCTGAACAAACTGTCTTTAAAAACGAATTGTTGCGCACGCAATGTCACGTCGCGTTCTTTATAGAATCGATTCGGCTATTGGCCGCAGTAAGTGCCTGGTTAACATGATACTTTTGGTTTTTCGTTAATCTTTTTGAAGAAATGACAGGTCTCAGAACCATATATCATGGCAGGTATATGCACTGGTTGAACACCTTTCTTCTTAAAGCACATTAGAATTTAAGAAAAAAAGTGTTCAACCAGTGCTTTGCACTATTGTCTTCCATATCTGAATAATTTTTTATCTTTCTTCTAATAAAGTGCACACACAGTCGGTGTAATTGTACGACTTGAAAGAGAAGGCCTTCAGATATTGAGTATGCATAACAAGGTACGTCACCTTAAATTATTACAACTGAATATGATTTGGCTAAAAAATAGCTGTTTGTTGTCCTCTAATAATGCAAAATATTTTGGTGATTTGATAATAAAATAACTGTGTAGTCACTCTGAAAAAAGAAAAAACTCTTAATAATCATTTATGCATAACATCTTGGTGGATTACTTGGTATAAACTCCATGGATATCCCACGAAAGTCTGAAGAAGACTTATTTCCAGTGGGGTCCTTCCTTTGTCTCCTATGCAGTACACTAAAAGACTGTCCCTGCTGTTTTCCTAATAGTATACTGTGTTCTTTAACATGCACACAACTCTCATCTGAAATATGGTGCGCTATCATAGCTTGCATTTCAGCCCTCCAGCTGAAACACAAGTTGAGCAGTGTTGGGAATTGAACCAGGGACCTAGAACTCTCCACGGTTCAGCACACACAGTGTGGCTACCACCAGTTTAGCCGACTGAGCTAAACTGCTCTCTAATCAAAGTCCAATAGATTATCAAAGGCATAATATCAAATAAAATTTGAAAGAAAATATTATTTGGGTAACTGACAGAATTTTAACTTTGTTTTACACTTTGTGTTAACAGGTCTCGCATGTTAAACCCCAGGGCGTGACACGCAAGAAAGAGTCTAGAAGCGCTATTGCATTGGACGCTGAACAGAACAACATCCAGTTAAAGGATATTGTGAAAGTCATCGACGGACCGCATTCTGTGAGAAAATTTGCACTTACTCAATGCCAATTACAGTCAAATATAAAATAATCTGTTGATATAATCTTTAAAAAAGAATCATTAAGCTTCATTTTTCATAAAGTTGTGTTTTCGGTACCACCGATAGGTAGGTTGAATTATGGATTTTGGTTGCTGTTTGCATCTGGGACAGGTGCATAGTGTGTAAAAACACTGTAATGATTTTATGCCAATTAGGATTTAGGTGATGTAAAAAGTCAGGAGTATTCTGTTATTACCTTTAAATTATGTAAATATATTTCTTTGTTTAATAATTGTACATTAAATTACTATACTATTTTTAATCATGTTTGTATTATTACTGTAGAATTAATATGTTATTTGTATTATTGCTATAATTATTATCATGTATTGTTACTATTAATATTAGTGTATTCTGGAAGGTCATTTATGTAGCATGGTGTTATTTTTTTGTATTTATATTTCACAGGGACGGCAAGGTGAAATTCGGCACATCTACAGAAGTTTTGCATTCCTACACTCGCGCTTAATGACTGAAAATGGCGGAATCTTTGTTTGTAGAAATCGGCACATTGTGTTGGCGGGTGGATCAAGGGTAAGCAAGTGGCCATTTTGTCATTTTTTTCAATTAGTTTCGACATTACTGTGAGTTTTATTATTCCAATATATTTCCCGATTGAAAAAATACTGTTTCTTTGTACATACGAAGTAGTATTCCCATATTCTTTAATACATTATCCATTTTTTGTTTTCTTTTTCGACTCTGATTACTATTAAATTATTTTGCTTGTTTCAGCATGGGCAAAGGCTCTGTGCAGGTTAGCAGTTAGGCATGTCTAAACCATTTTGCTTTTCTTACACAGCCTATGGATAGTAGTCTTATTACTAGTGGATATTCTCCGATGTCTCCGAGAATTTCAAGTCCTGCCCACGGAAGTGGTATGTATTTAAAAAAAATTTTTTTTGAAGATATATATAATGGTATTTATTCAATCAAAATTCATTTAAAAAAACATGGCAGCCAAGAGGCTGAATTGCGAATTACGTTAACTAACAAAAGAACTAAGGAGAATTACAATTGAAAAAAATAAACCACTGCACAATTAGGACAAAAAAATTATGTATAGGCCTAAAATATTCTGGAAAAAATTACATTAAAATTGCAGATTAATTTAATTAAAAGACAAACATTGAGAAAATTACATTATTATTTTATTAATTATTATAATTATCATATACATTGAAACTGATGAATAGTAGAATGATTACATTATAATTGCCTAACAGCTATTTAATTGAAAAAGAAACCAACACATTTAAATAAAAACATAAGAAAAGACAAGGAGAAAAAACATCGCAAACATTTAGAATTACTGTACATGGGTTACAAGTGAGTGACAATAAAAAAAAACTACCGGTAACATAAAAACACATTAAAGACATAGAAAGGTGGATAATAAAAGAATAAAAAGCATTAAGAATGTACAATAGTTAAATAAAAATAAACATCACAAAAATATAGATAACATTCAAATATACATGCAATTAAAAAAAACGCTAACTAGCAAAACAAGAAAATCCTTTAAAGCACAATCGTTCCAAAGGAAAAACAATCAACGATTGCACAGAAAGGCTGATAACATCATGAACAATAATAATAAAATAAACTGCCGATTTAAAGCTAGCACAAAACCCCAGGTGGAAGAAAGTTACAAATCAATTAAGTTAAGTTAACAAGGTAAGGTAATGGGCTGCTACACTATTCAATTTTATGTGAAAAAATAAATGTGATGAGCCCATATTTGGTTGTAATATGACATCATCATGCCTATATAGCACATAACACAATAATGCAAGTACAGACAATATTGCTTACATTATGGCACTATGTGATACTTCATTAAGCTAGGAGTCTTTGGGAGATTACGAAAATTGTATTGCATTCTTTAACATACATATGTGTCATTTGGCACACAGGACCAACGTCTCTTCCGGAAGATGGTACGCTTTCATACTTGCATTACAGGATTTATTGATGAGCTTGTTTAATTATCTGAATGTGTTAATATTTGATTTCTAGGACCGCAGCAACAGGCTGGAGGACGAGGCCGAGGGCGTGTCGGCAGAGATCGTGATATGATTGGGCAGACCGTACGTATTTGCCAAGGCCCATTCAAAGGTAAATATTCAATTTTATTATACCAAACATCCAAGCTACTGTTTAACACCAGTTGTGTGTAATCATTGTGATTATTGTTGTTGCTGTTATTTTTGGTAATTTTATTGTATTATTAAATCGTTAATATTAATGTTTTTTGTTATAATTATTTAAATTTTACCGAACAAATTAAAATATAATTTTGCTTTGAGGAATGTTTCCTGATGAATTTAACCTCGCTTGTTTCAAGTGTAGTGTGAATCGTCACTTTGTGTACTCTGAATATTTGTTTGATTAGGACTCAAATTATTTTTTCATCTTGTATTCCTCGTCCGGTTTTTCCGCCCTTTCCGCATTGAGATTTTCTTTCTTTGATTTCAGGTTATATTGGTATAGTGAAGGATGCAACTGAGACAACAGCACGTGTTGAGTTACATTCAATGTTTAAAACAATTACTGTAGATAGAAACCGCTTGAACCCAGTAGGGTAAGTACTCATGGTGCACCCTCCAATTTCAGACCTTCTGATTTGAGACCATTTTTTCCAAGAATCAAATAACAATCATTATTCTATTAACAAAAGCTAGCCCACTAGTTGAAGACTAAACACAGAGAACACACAAATTTTTAGGTAACAAATGTGGTCTTGAATTGGAGGGCGAAATGTACTTCTATTTACTTAAGTTTGACTTTGAGAAGTGTAGAGTACAAACGTGATTTCATTATGGTACCATATGACAACTTTTTGACTGACCAACTACTCAATGGTCATTAAAACTGAGTACCTCCATGGCTACTAAAACATAGTTTTGTAAATCTACTCACAATTCAGTTATATTTTACTGCTATGAGTTTTGATAATAAAAGCAGAATGAATGAAATACCCAGAGTTTCACAGCTTTTTTCAACAAATATATTAGAACATCATCATTTCCGGATATAAAAAGAACACCTGGTTTATTGTTCTGCATATGGTGGCTATTAATACAGGTTTACAAGGCACAAAAATAGAGAACCAGAGTTTAGAAAAAGCTATGTAAATAGTGGCTTAGATGTAAGCATTAAAATCTGAATCTTCGGATCGGGAAGCCTGTGGAACCGATCAGAAAATTGAATCAGCTTGTAAAAATAGGGATGCTGGCGTTCAACGCATCAGAAACAGAATTTTGATTTTGTGAATGCAGCTTACTCGGCCATATTGTTGCTTGGTAACAAAAGGGTGTCACATAATGCTGTGATGTGAGTGGAGCAATGGAAAAACTTTGACCTCTTGTTGATTATTTCAATATTGTGTCACCTATATTATGCATCTCATTATATATTGGCACTCTTTAATTAAACTGTGTTTCTTCTTGTAGGGGGCAGAAAAGAAGTGGTGCAAGTACGTACTATGCGAGGACTCCTATGTATGGCTCTCAGACGCCTATGTATGGATCAGGATCCAGGACCCCAATGTACGGCTCACAAACACCTGTTCATGATGGTAAGTTTCAATTTAAAAAAATCGAATTCGGTCAACAGCAAGTATTCAAGTGTTTTAGATTTAGAGGGGGTAGAGAGAAGTGGTGCACGTACCCCCTGTGGTAGTGTTGTCTTGATCAGCCCAACTTTCTCCCCCCTCCCCCCACTTCCAGACATTAATAAATCCGCCCCTCAATCATTTTGAGTAGTAGTTCTCAATAAATTGTCTGTTGCACTTTCTGTTCATAAGTGCTCAGAGCGTTGAATTCAATTGCTATGTTGATTTGTAGCATAGTTTATTTATTATTCATTTATTATAAATAAGTTTGACACATACAAAAAAACATAGTTGATTAAGTTCTGTCCAGATTATCATATATTCTTAGACAAAATATTGCTGTATGCCCATATATAGTCATGATCTGCCTGTATATGGTCATGATGTGGTATTATCGTGACCATGTTGAGGCACATCACATGATTTTTGACAGCCTGGACATAGTCTTTAGGATTTGAACAATCCACTTTGGGTAAATAGTCTTAAATGTCATCATGGTTTTTTTTTTTTTTTTTTTTTTTTTTGCATTTTCGGGGTGTATCGATTTTTTCTGGGTGGGCCTTGATCATAATTTTTAGACCTTTTCAGTGGGAGACTACAATCGATTACAGTGCCACCAGCTTGAAGCGGATGGCAGGCTCAGTTTCAGAATTGTTGGAATTGAGATAGATTACGTCACACAATTGGCAAGGTCTTTGGAATCATTGCTTGTACCTCATCAATGCTTTTTTATTTATGTCATTGTGAAAATTCCCTAGAAAAAAATGTCTGATAAATATATGAAAAAAAAGACTTTGAAAATTTTGGGGGCTTCGTATTACCTTCCCGACCTCCCCTTGCATACACCCATGCATATTAATCTTGTCTTTGACAAAGGATAAATAAAGTGTATCAAAAAGTATAACAAAATTCAATATTCCCATATTTAGGTGTAATATGACAACATTATGTCCATATATAATTTATAATACAAATTTGTCATACAAAAGTTGGTAATGAATTTTCTTTTCTGTTATTATATATCAAAATGATCACAGTTTTGTATATAACAAATTGTTGTGTCATTCTCTACAGGAAGCAGAACACCTCATTATGATTCATCTCAAACGCCGTTGCATGATGGGAGTCAAACACCAGGTAGATCCGGAGCTTGGGACCCGAACAATCCAAATACACCATCAAGGTGAGTTTGTGTTCATAGCATGTTTAGAATCCGTTTTTAAACCTTGTTTTGTATTGGAAAAACGACTGCTATGATAATTGTACAGGTTACAGTTGTGGCAAAATGCTGAATTGATAGAATGTTTACATTAGAATGGTGCAAAAGTAATTGTTTCAAATAACATTAATATGGTCTCTTTCAATTTTATGTACAAACTTGTGTTTAAAAATACAAGTCGAACATAGTAGTGAACAGTTGCCAAACGACCGACATTGAAGTGAAGATACGAGATACGCATGATGATAAGCAGTTGATATTCAAGACAGGAGTAATTCGCAGTGTTTCGGTAAGTGATATAGTAGTGTACAGTAGTATAAACTATCCATAAAGTGAGATGTGTATAAGAGACAGTATATATATACTATTGTTTGGTACAATAGTTTATAAATATAATTCACACTGTGTTAACAACACAGACAAACTTTTCATTTGAAAATGGTCTCAGACTTCTTGATAGTTAATTAAATGTAAACAATTTTCTTTTATGTCATATTTCTCAATTGTAATATCAAAGGCAAAGTGACTACGACTATGGATTTGATGATGCCACGCCTTCGCCGCAGGCTTACAGTTCCAACCCAGCCACCCCAGGTTACGCATCTGACACACCTCCCAACAGCGGACCGTACACCCCCGCAACTCCTGGTAGTGCGTCTGGTATCTATGGAAGCGAATCAACATATTCTCCGTATCAACCTACAGCTTCTCCCGGTAGCTATCAACGTAAGTACTGGTTCTCTAAACTATCTTAGCGCCATTTTCGACCGTTTTAAGTCAGCTTACGACAACCTCCTAAGCGCTCCTGCTTATTCTTTTCCACAAGCTTCCTTTGAATTACTCAACATTTTGATTAATAAATATTCGAACTGGAAAGAATCGTCTTCGCAAAGCATAAGTAAGGCTGGCCATTAGGTGAGGCAAACCAACATTAGTGATCAAATATTTAATATATTCTTGTTTTCTACATTGTAAGCTTTAAAAATGATGGGTTATTTACTGGTATTGACTTACTATTTTCTAAGTTTTAGTAAGTAAAAAATAAGTAATAGTCAGTAAAATATTATTGCTTCTGTACTCAAGTATACAATATTGCCACATTACTCAGTTTAATTAGTGATAGGTTTGCAAGGTTTGGAATGGCAAAACATATTAGCAGTTCGCAAAAAGTATGTATATTTTATTACTTATTATACTTACAGTAAATACTCTAAGTAAAGTAAATAATGAAAGAATTATTTTAGTTAGTTTATTCTTAGACTACTTAATTATTCCAATTTGCCTATTATGGTAGCATTTTAATGTTTCATCCAAAGGCATTTGTTTTTCTCATTAAAACTAGAAAATAATGTAATATTGATATTGTGTTTTATTGCAGCCAGCCCTGCAGGCAGCTTTAACCAAGCACCGAGCCCTGGTACATACCAGGGTACGCCATCACCACAGAGCTACCATCTGACGTCGCCTGGTAGCTACCAAGCTACTCCGAGTCCAGTTGGCTTTCCTATGACCCCAGGAGCTCCATCTCCCATGGGGTTCAATCCACATACCCCTGGGGGTACTATTGACCCTAACCAGTCTGAATGGCAAACGACCGACATTGAAGTGAAGATACGAGATACGCATGATGATAAGCAGTTGATATTCAAGACAGGAGTAATTCGCAGTGTTTCGGTAAGTGATATAGTAGTGTACAGTAGTATAAACTATCCATAAAGTGTGGTATAAAGCCTGCCATTAAAGTTGTTATACGACATTCCAATAGAATAGGTAATTGTAAACCAGTATACAAGCATGGCCACTGAGAATGGTCAGTTTGGCCGGAACTCTCTTCCTTGAATTTAAGAACCTGAACATAATCCAATTTGCCAAACTGCCTTCCCTATTAAAATGTGCTTTTAGGTTGTGCTTTAAATTAGTACTATTTTGGACATGGTAAATCCTTAAAATGTAAGAAACTTTTCATATAGAGTGTGGTATGAACCCTTCTATTAGGGTGTGGTATGAACCCTTCTGTTAAGGCATGGTATGAACCCTTCTATTAGGGTGTAGTATGAACCCTTCTATTAGGGCGTGGTATGAACCCTTCTGTTAGGGTGTGGGATGAACCCTTCTATTAGGGTGTAGTATGAACCCTTCTATTAGGGTGTAGTATGAACCCTTCTATTAGGGTGTAGTATGAACCCTTCTCTTAGGGTGTGGTATGAACCCTTCTATTAGGGTGTAGTATGAAGCCTCCTATTAGGGTGTGGTATGAACCCTTCTATTAGGGTGTGGTATGAACCCTTCTATTAGTGTGTGGCATGAACCCTTCTATTAGGGTGTGGTATGAACCCTTCTATTAGGGTGTGGTATGAACCCTTCTATTAGGGTGTAGTATGAACCCTTCTATTAGGGCGTGGTATGAACCCTTCTATTAGGGTGTAGTATGAACCCTTCTGTTAGGGCGTGGTATGAACCCTTCATTAGGGTGTGGTATGAACCCTTCTGTTAGGGTGTGGTATGAACCCTTCTATTAGGGTGTGGTATGAACCCTTCTATTAGGGTGTAGTATGAACCCTTCTATTAGGGTGTAGTATGAACCCTTCTGTTAGGGCGTGGTATGAACCCTTCTATTAGGGCGTGGTATGAACCCTTCTGTTAGGGTGTGGTATTAACCCTTCTATTAGGGTGTGGTATAAAGGTTTTTTGGGAAATTGCTTTTCTGTTGCTCCACCAACTGATGCATGAGTAGTGGTTAGGAATTTTAAATCACAATTGTAAGGTTTTGTATATTTTAGTCTAGGGGTTCTAAGTTGGAAGAAGTTATTTCCAGGAGATCAGTTTTAAGTAAGCCTTCCTAACACATCTCATTTCATTTTGCTGTACATGGTGATACAGTTGATGAGACAATTGGTAATGAAGCAGTGAAAATAAGCAGATACTATGAATTTGCGGAGATGGCTTATCTTCTGGATGATTATTGCTTGCTTGGGAGAGTGCTGGAGGCATCCCGATTTCCGGGAGACTCCTGTGAGTGCCGATGTTAGTCTTATTGTCTGCCTAGTGAAATGGTTGTGATCATTCTTATACCTTTTTCATGCAGGGTGCTATGTGTTCTGTGTTCCTACCAGAGGATGATAAGATCGTAAATATCCACGCTCATCATCTAGAACCAGTAGTACCAACCAAGACAGACAGGGTGAGTTTAATCCAGTCGAAATTAAGATTTTATGCAGCGATTACAATTAAACAATAAAGTTTAATATGTTGAACCATTATGGCTTCATTTTGAACTATATGGATTTTTTTCTTTAAAAAAAATAACACATCACATTGTTCTTTTATTACACATGCCTATACACATTCTCACACACTACATGTGATCTTTGCCTGCCTTAGCTTGACAAATTGATCAAATTGTGATAGTTGCAATGTTAAATCATCATCATCATAGATTTAATGAGTCTGAATTTAAATTATGCTAAATAAAATTACTTTTGTTTTCAGACTTTTGATTTATGATTGACTGAAATTCGCATACAAAATTATAACAATTTATCAATTTATTTATTGTTTATTTTATTTATTTTTTATCTAGAGTTTATTATCAATATTATTTTAAATCATAATTTACTAATTCAACCTTTTTTAAATTTATTTGCTTTAGGTTAAAGTTATTCTTGGCGATGATCGGGAAAGCACCGGAATGTTGATAAACATTGATGGGGAGGATGGCATTGTCAAGATGGACCAAGCAGATCTTAAGATCTTACAGTTAAGGTTCCTCGGAAAACTGCACGAAAAATAAAATCCTGTTAATATTTCATCTGAAAAAAATGTTGGAATAGCAGATAAAACAGGGCACCCTCCAATTCAAGACGAACTGTATTTAGATCCATTAGGAAGGAACTATTGGTCTCCTAGCTGAAACGTATCTTACAGTGGCAGGCCTAATGGCAAACATAATGACAGACCCAAGGGCGTGTTTTTACAATTACCCTATAAAGGGTCATAAGAATAAGTTTTTTCTGCTCTTGGTAAAAACATTTGGATCTGCTTTGGCATAATATCTGATATTATTGATGAAGATAATTAAATTCTAAGGTATATCTGTTATCTGAATTCTAAGGTATATCTGTTAGGTTTTACTACTTTTCAAAATTTTGTTGCATAAACTTTTTACAATACTTTCTTGTTATTTTTTCTTTGAAAGCAACAGGACATGTTCAACCAGAGATTTTTAATCCTATAACTTACTTCTCTACTACTTTTTGTAAGTTGACAATAACATTGTTTACGTAACCGATAAAATCACAGAAATAAAATGGGCGTATTATTGAATAAGCCCTTAATTCACTGACGGTCAAGTCAGATGTGAGAAGAAAACAGCAACAACTGACTGAAGTACTGTACTTGTACATGCAAGAGACACAACTCTTAACCTTTACCCTTTACCCTATGTCACACATCATACTTTTATTTCCCTTCTATCAATTTTTTTTTTTATTGTTGATCATATATTTGAAGTTTGCACACCATAAATGTTTGGTTTTTATTGATGTAGCTACCAAACATTATATATTACAAGTGTTAATTATTAACAGCTTTTGTTTCAAGACTGTATACTTGCTTGTACTACATGCATGTTATGTGTACTATTGTTTTCTTTAATGTTTTTTTAGACTGAGAAGCCAGTCCAGTGGGAATTTACTGTTCTCAGTAAGGTTCCAGTTGAGCATTCCATCTACAAAGAGCTATCCTCTTGTAGAAAAGATTTTTTGGTTAATCATAAGTTTAAGTAACATACTCCAAGTATCTATAAACACTGTGTTTGGTTACTTGGTTCTTTTGACTTCTGAAGTAAGTGAACAAAAATGTAAGTAAAATGTATGTAAACACACATAAAATACAGTAAGTATTTTTGTCACAAAATTGCCTTAAGGTGAAATGACTTGACGAAAATGAAACCTAAATTTTCAAGGCCCAAAAGGCATACATGAAGGTATTGATCTAGAATTTATAGAAAAGTAAAAAAAAGTGTGTACTGGATGTTTTTATTTGCATTAAACTTTCGGGATGTGCGAGTTCTCATGATCTCTCACCGTTCAGTCTAACCTCTTTTTAACCATTTTGTATGATTGACAGTTCGAGTTCAGCTAATCTTTTAAATAAAACCTGCTATCAAAGCTCGGTGCTCGATTGTTTTGCTGAATGCCAGTTTATCGCAAATGGTTCTCCAACAAATGTCGCCCCATATCGCCAGCACGGATTTTGCGGACAGGATGCTTAGCAAGATAATTGAGGTGGTGTGGATTCTCACGCATCCCCTACCCACTTTTGGGAGGAAGAAAAAAAAATGATAGCCCAGAATGCCTCAAATGTTATGTTCGGGCGTCTAGAACACAAAAATTTCGCGGATGCATGCCCCCGGAACCCCTGTCACAGTGTTGTCTCGATCAGCCCAACTTTCGGCCCCCTCCCCTTTTGGACATTTCTGGATCCGCCCCTAGTACATGACAAAATTTACAAAATCTAAACATTTTACAATAATCAGACAGTGTTTGTGTATAATAAAAAGTATGGTATTTACAAAGTATTGAAATGCAGATAATCGTCTTTCAGCATATGCGAAAGAAATAGGAGTAAGACCCATTAGCCTACAGAAAAAGGGAGTTCCAGTTTTATGTCCGTAACAAAATATGTTTATATTGAATTTAAAAACTTTTGCATTTGCATTTTCGGATCAGAAGACTTGCCGAATTGATCAGAAAATAGAATAAGTGTGGAAGAATAAGTACGCTGGCATTCAGCGCTTTGGAAACATGACCTGAATTTCGGTTAAGATACAATGTTCAAACAAGATTAAGGATACAGAGGTGAATCTCCTGGAAAATGTCTCGGTAGCTGGTATAATGGATTTATAAAGCAGGCTAATATTATTGTAATTCGATTAAAGCTGTCAAATTGTACACTGTCATGCCGTACGCTTGCTTTCACTTTTTATTAATCCTCTTTTTTTAACAAAATACCTCAGTGAAGAAAGATATGCTCAAAATTATAGTAAAGTTAATAATTTATTTACCATTTTTTTCTTAGCACTCTTTTTACGAGGAATCAGGTTCAGAGGGACTTGAGCTAATGCAAAAATAGTTTTACTACTAGTTAAGACTTTTTAAAATCTAAAAAAAAAAAAAAAACCCAAAATATCACAGCCTTTTATAATACATTAATAACATAACAATTACATTTTAACAATGTACACTGTGAAATTACTTTAAGCTACTTTAAGATGAGATTTTAGAAAAAAAAAAAAGATTATGTTTTATAATTAGGTAGACAAGTTATAAAATACAGTTAATAATTCCACACAATTTTAAAAAATACCTTAACCTGATTAAAAAAAAACAAAAAAACATGAAATTTAGAAAAATATAGTATAGTGAGCATAAGCTGTAATAATAAACAAATTACATTTATCAAAAAAACATACATGGATGAAATTACCTGCAATTTAAACAAAAATAATGAAAAAGTTATTTAAAAAAAAACAGGCCTATTGCACACAATTATATTTCACAAAAGTACCACTAAATTAAAGAAGATAAATGTTTAGGCAGAAATATTAGAAATATAAACAAATAAGTACATTAGAGTGTCTTCGTAGTTGAAAAACAGCACAAAATGGAATACGAACCTCCACAACCAAATCATAAAGAGAAAAAAAGAAACAGACAAATAATTTGGTATAAGAAGTAGTTCTTAATTGCAGTCGGCTTAATTTAAAATCATCAGTATGGCTTACAGCCATACTGATTTTTTTTTTTTTTTAAATAACATGAACAATTTATTGCGACTAGATCTAAATAAAATATTTATTTTTCACTCATTTATAGGTAATGAATGAATGTTAAAAAATACATGATAAAAATGTTTATAAAGAGGAAAGTGGGTGTAAATTATCTGTTCATTACCAATTATATTCGTTATGTTCTTTGTACAACCTTTAAGCATGAAAATAACATTTAAAAGACTAACCCCGCATCGTTTTTATAGAACATTTTCACTATGAAACTTTACACATCATGTATTAAATATGATTTATTATAACAACTTTAATTATCGGCCTATGTTTTACATAGCTTAAGTACTATGCATCTGGAATGAGGCCATAGGCCTTTCTGAAATTTCCCGCGTCTCTCATCAAACAAGGCTGAAGCCTATCGCGTGGCAATTAGGCCTAAAACTTAGTTTTTACAATGTTCAACTTTATTCCAGGAGAAACTCGAACATCTGCGTCAATTTGATGTTGAATGCACTTTTCAACAAGTGCTTTGAAAGTAGCATTATGGGTTTCTCAATTTCTCCATTTGACGGAGCTTATCGTACATACAATTAGGCCCAAAACTTGGTCTTAAATGTTTAATTTCATTCTAAGAGAAACTCATAAACATCTACGTCAATTTTATGTTCAATGCATTTTTTAACAAGCGCTTTGACTGTCGCATTGCCGGCTTCTCGATCTCTCCACTTGCGTAGACAGCAGAATATCTTTTCTCTTTCTGGGGAATACACAGGGCATGCATGGAAGATCTCATTCTCTTTCAGTCCAAGACTACGTACGAAGCTTTTCCATTCAGCTCCCAACTTTCCAGAAAATTCGTTTAATTCATACTCACTGATTAATCTGTCTGAGTAACCTTTTTTCGGGGGCACTGGCTGCAGGTTTTTGGATGAGGCATCATTACTTTCAGAAGACTCTGTAAATTTGATATTATAATTATTTTAATAAATATAAAATAATGCATCCATGATGTTGTTGAATGTACTAGTTCCGTGCGCAAAGAAGTAGCAAACGACTAGGTATACTCCCCAGGGCAATGTATGTTATCCAGTGACCAGGGAGGGGTAACACAAGCGCCTTTGATCATTCACTTTGAAATTGGCGCCTATAAATATTTGAATATTATTATTATTATTACAAAACCGAGTTGAGTATTAGAAATTAGACCAAATTTATCTAGATGTACATTGACGTATTTTAGCAACTATCCTAACATTTTACCAACTATGGATATAAGCAAAATGGGTCTTTGGATTGGGATTACTATGGCCTCCTTCCACTCACTAGGAAATACACCAGATCCAAGAGCAAGGTTGAAATATAGGCCGATGACATTTTCAGCACGTGGATGTAATTTTTTCTCGCTCTGGTGATTTACCTACTTGTTCAGAAAAGTAAGTACTTCTAAAGGTGAAATTAAGTATCCCATAATAGTGGAATGAGGCCATCGATGCTCATTACAATCCTCGTCTGGTATAAAGGAGTTAGAATTACCTGCAGAAAATTTAGATATTAAAGCTTTGGGCAATAATTATTCTTATAGTCATGTCTTTAACTATTCTATTAATTTATTAAGAAGACATTATATGAACAAAAAGAAGTAGCTTATAGAATCTAACATTATGGTATCAATTATCTTACTATCCAGTGCTTGAATCTAAATCTTACGTTTTAGTGATGTTTCAGGATCCTCCAACAATGAACTTGCACCTCCTGTGAACAAAAAAGATCAACTCATTTTTGTGTCTACTGGCTTGAGATTTAGATACTGTATGAGGACCCTCCACTCTTAAACACCACCACCCTCAATACACTCTACATATTAGCTGATATACTGTAGTGTGATTCGGTCATCGTTTATTAAGACAAAAGGCACCGTTGCACACGATTGGTCAATTAAACAAAATATAAAGTAACAATTGTTAAATTGTGGCCAAAATATAGTAAGAGAAAGGAAGCACGACTGAATCACTCCTACATTTAATTAATTAAGAAACATTGTGTTTTTTGAATTTTCAAAGATATCAACAAAATATAAGTAACTTATAAAAATCTTACTAGTGCTTGAATCTAAATCTTACGTTTTAGTGATGTTCTAGCACCCAGCGACGATGAACTTCCACCTTCCGTGAATAAAAAAAAAAGAATTTTGTTATGTAACAATAGATAATGTTAGTCTGTTATATTATCAGGTATGATTAAAAAACAAGGCTATTGCACAGTTGGATTGGATTTACTATATTCAGTGTGAAGAACCAAAGGGTGTTCCTACAGAAAATCGAGACAGAAACTGTTGTCTTATCATTGGTTGATTATCGGATTGCCAAGATAAGAACCATGTTGAAAATACATTTTGCCTCCACATGAAACAGTTGCATTTTGACTAGGCCAATGGCGGCGCTACGGGGGGCTGGGAGGGCTACAACCCCCCTGTCGGGGAGAAAAAGAATTATATCTATTTTTTACATATTAATTGACTCCAAAATCGATTAAATAAGCCTTTGAAACCTCTAAATTGTCATTTTCCGGGGGTCAGCCCCCTGGACCAATTTCGAAACGTTTTTAGTGGGTTGTCAGCAACGCCCTACCACGCCCACTTTTTCTCGTCGGGACCTTGGCATCGGAAAAATCCTGGCGCCGCAAATGGACTAGGCTGATACATTTTTTTTGTTTATCTCCGATGAGGAGCTCTAGGTCAATTTGATGTTCAATGCAATTTTCAACGAGCGCTTTGACAGTCGCATTGCCGGCTTCTCGGTCTTTCCATTTCAGTAGACAGCAGAATACCTTTTCTCTTTCTGGGGAATACACAGGGCACGCATGGAAGATCTCATTCTCTTTCAGTGACTACGTAAAAAGCGTTTCCATTCAGCTCCCAATTTTCCAGAAAATGTGTTTAATTCATACTCACTGATTAATCTGTCTGGGTAAACTTTTTCTGGGGGCATTGGCTGCAAAGTTTTAGGTGCGGCACCATCACTTTCAGATGTAAGTTTGATATTATAATTATTGTAATAAATAAAAAATAATGCATACATTCAAGGTTTACATAAGAAATCATGGATGACCGTAACGCCTGATGTTACTGTAGGAATGCGGCTCCTTTGTAATCTTCACCAGATGATAAATATGTATTCACTTGCATAGGCAAGAATGTTTTTGAAAGTTGCACATACACAATCTTATTTACTTGATCGGACACCGTTAGTCCCAATATGATTTTCTTTGAATTGTCTTTATTTAAAGTCAAAAATTATATTTTTGAAGTAATATTTCCAAAATATTACCGCATATGATCAAAATTAGCAGAGTTGCAATTGTTTGTATGTCGTCAATTGCGCAATCGACAAGAACATGTCAAGTATAAGAACCTTCTTATCCAACTCACATTTTTTGAATTTTTATATAATGTGTCTAATAATTTAATTTTTTAATTACCAAATAAATAATAGCGATCGTAAACCAACCTGCTGAAAATAGTCTTTTGAGGCGAGACGTGTTCATTGCCTTTCTTCCACATCGAACCTTCTTCTTCAAGCAATCCTCCAGATCATGTAAATGAGGTTTCTGTGTTGGTTGACACACACTGCAGAGGACGCGCAACTTGTAGCCAATCCCTTCTGTTGTGCCATACACTGTTTTCAGTTGATCTCTGAGGTAGTCTAATATCTACAGATTTAAAAAAAAACCCGCTGCAAATAATATTTTGATTGTCTTGAGGCAAATAAATTGTACTGTAGTGTATTTGAGTTGATTGTTACAGTAAGTATTGTTTTTACTTTCATAAATGAACTGAAACGTGATTGTTTTCGAAATATTTTTGGAAGTGACTATTACATTATTGTTGGCACAAATTAAGCGTATTCGAAATGAGTGTTAAATCATGCTTTGCGTAGACTCACAAGAATTAAGACAAAATGTGTTAGCAATATTTATCTTTAATCTAAAAAAAAGCCTAGTTGTCAACGATCTCTACAAGACCAATCAATCATTATTTACGTAGGCCTACCTCAATGCAGAAACTTGGATGAGGCTCTGCTACTACATTTCCATCTTGGTCAATTAAATGCGATATTTCAAGCTTTGAAGAAAAGAAAAATACATCCAAAGTAAAATCTGATTGTGTGATACTGGTGTTACAGTGCATTTATAAAATGGCAGTTTAGATTTAATTAATAATAATGATAATGTTAGTAATAGAAATAATTTGAGGATTTGGCCAAGAGGAAATGTTTCTGCTTTTTGTGCTGAAGACCTGATTCAAAACCGATTAACGTTGGATTTTAATTGGATTCGATCATTCGGTCCCTAAAATAACTCTCGAATGAGAGTTAGGTGAGACAGGGTGCATGGTATAACTGGCGTCCTAATATGGCTGTCGCGTGTCCTCAGGGGTTAAGCCTAAATTTCTAATTCTAAAAAATCTAAATTAGGAATAATGTTAAAAATTAAATCCCAATAATTTAAAATTACAACGACTATCACAACGACTGCCGCCACATCGCCGACGATGACAATAATGATAATAATAATGTATTTCATTACATCTAATGATTATGATGCAAATAATGAGTTCCAGGATAAACAGGAAAAAAAAGGAAATCGTAAAAACAGCTCCACTATTTACGTGAACTTCATTTGTTGCAAATTGATGCCAGAATTCAATATAAAATCCTTTTACTGACTTATAAGTCACTGACTCTCAATCAACCCGCATACATTAATCAACTTCTTCCCAAATATATGCCTGGCCGTTCCCTACGTTCATCTGATCTCAATTTAATTTCTGTCCCTCGCAACAACACTAAGACCTTCGGACACAGATCATTTTCATTTGCTGCAGCCACACTCTGGAACGCACTACCACTTCACATTAAAAAATCAACATCAATTCCTTTATTTAAAAAATCACTCAAAACGCACTTATTCCAACAATAACATGAAGCGCCACTGATAATTACTTCGGTTTTTTAAATGGCGCTATATAAGTTCTTACCTTATTATAATATATATAGTATAGGTTTATATAGAAGACACCTACTTTAAACACCGTCAATTTGAAACGCTTTCAGTATTTAATTAGAATTATTGCAAGTTCCTAACAAATGTTATTAATGCACGACTGTAGCACTCTCATCCATATTTTTATTCCTATTTAAAGAAGGACTTTTAAATGTAATTTAAATGTAACTTTTAGTTCAGTAGGTCTACCATCATTTTTTACCTTCAATGCGTGTCTGTTCTCAATTTTGACAGCTCCTAGACTCACCAAGTGATCGTCATCTAAATCAAAATCACTGCAATTTTGATACAATTCTGCTTCGCTACTTTTACCTTTGACCTTCATCAAGTCTAAAAATGCAACGACTAATATATTGTAGACAGCGTCAGGGAGGAAGTCCGTAGGGGTTACATAAACAGAAACCGTCTGTTTCTCGTCTTTCTTAACTTCCAAACTCTCTTTATTGACTTGCATGCGAGAGGGGACAATAAACCTTCGAGTAAATTGTTGATCTCCCTTAAAAAAAAAATTAAAAAAAGAGTGAACAATATGTATATATGTATATATATGTATATGTATATATATGTATATATATATTGTATATATATATGTATATATGTATATATATCAAGATAGCCGTTATATAAAAATCAAGATATGTATATATGTATATATATGTATATGTAT